GAGCATGATAGTGTAGAATAATCATATCCAAGGACCAGTGGTGGGTTTCTAAAAAGTTTGGAACCTCTTCTGTAGGTGTGGCCTGCTTTCCGGGTCCACTGGTGGAACCTCTCCTAACCGGTTCGGTAGATTTGACGAACCGGTTGTACCGAATAGGTGCGAACTGGTAGGAACCCACCTCTGACCTCACCCCATTCCTAAGCGGTCTGTAAAGGGCGCAAGCATAAGCGCACCAACATGCCTATCGTCCCTGTCCTACTGTCCCCTTTTATTTGCATTCATTCCTTTCGTTCATGTCCATGTTCCTATTTATACCTGCTATCTTGTACATGTTTGACAAACTAATAAGTACAAATACAGGATTGTCCTCCGTTTCCCTTACTTGAGCATTGTGATTCCCGCCGGGGTGGTGGGGACGCTGTGCCGCCTCATGTATTCGTGCATGTCTGGGAAACTCTTCTTGATATATTCCTCTGCGCTGCTCTCCCAGACGGTTCCAAAGCGAAAACCCTGGGACGGATGATGAAGCTGCAAGAGAACGAAATTGGGATCAGACCGTCTGCTCCTAGTTTTGGGAGTTTTTTATTTAATTTAGGGCATGGGAGGGGGGGATTCTTTTAATGTGAACATTCTTTCAAATATTTGCAATAGAAATCAGGGTGTGCGGGGTAAAAGAAGGGAAAGAAACGGAGGGTGGGCAAAACAAAAAGAGAGAGAAAAGGATGTGATTTCATAGGATGTTTTCCAATGAGAACACGTCAGCAACAGAAGGATGATAAACGTCACGGATGATTTGAGAACAGGCGGGGGGAAAAGGGCCTGCAGGATTGTCTTCTGGCATGCCGAATGATGAAAGCAACTCCAGGACTGAAGATTAAAACTTTAATTTAGGGGGAAATACAGATTAACAGAATTGGGACTTTGGAGATCTTCTAGTCCAGCCGTTAATTGTTCTTAACTGTCAGGAAAGTTCTCCTTAGTTCTGGATTGGTTCCCTAATACGTTTCCATCCGTTATTTCTTGTACTGCCCTCCGGTGCTTTGGAAATCAATTAAAAGGTAATATTTTAAGGGGTTTTTAAATAATACTCTGTGTGAGAAAAAGGGAGAAAAGGAAGTTTCTTTTTTCCATCCTGATCTCTTTAGGTTACTAGGTTAATCTGTTTGAAATTGCTTCCCCCAAGCAAATAATCATGCAAGATTTCACCATCTCGAGGTGATAACCAGAAATGTCAAAGGTTTAAAAAAAAAAAAAGACTAGATAAATTCACAGAGGAAGAGGAAGATGAATGGAGACATGAGTGGAAATATGAGTGGGGCTTCCGTTTCTATATATGAAGGTAGTCCTTGGCTTACGACCACAATTGAGCCCAACATTTCTGTTGCTAAAGGAGTCAATGAAGTGAGTTTTGGCCCATTTTATAACTTTTCTTGCTACAGTTGTTAAATGAACCACAGCAGTTGTTAAATCAGTCACCCACAGTTGTTAAGTGAATCTGGCTTTCCCATCGACCTTGTTGTCAGGAGGTCACAAAAAGTGATCGTATGACCTTGGGACATTTGCGAATGTCATAAATATGAGTCAGTTGCCAAGCATCTGAATTTTACGGCCGCGGGGATGCTGCAGTGGCTGTTAAGTGCGAAAACGGTCATAAGTCACTTTTTTCAGTGCCGTTGTAACTTCAAATGGTCACTAAATAAAACTGTTGTTAAGTCGAGGATTATCTGCAGCCTACCACTGAGAATCTGCTCTTGGGGTAAGTAACAAGGGAGAGGATTTGAAGGCATCTCGGAAGGTTTAATTATCTAGAAACATCAAGGGGAGGAAACCGGAGTCAACAAACTCTGTGTCAGGGTTCCAACTATTATACTGAGCCGAGGTGGCACAGTGGTTAGGGTGCAGTACTGCAGGCCACTTNGAGAGAGAGAGGGAGGGATGGAGAGAGAGAGAGAGAGGGAGAGAGGGAGAGAGATTGCTCCTATTTTTACACTCAGGTTCCCGGATACCAAGTGAAGTATTTCATGAACCCATGCATAATTATCTTTTGGAGCTTCCTGGGAAAGCATTATAAAAATTAAGTAAAAGCCACATTCTCCATGAAAGAAGGAGAAATATTTCTGCCTTTTCCTGGCTTTAATTTTTCACGCTTGCAGACTGAGGATACCTGCTTTCAACAGAATGATCCAATCTGGACTAAAGCCTCATTGGGCTACCAAACCCCCTTCCTTGCTCTGCCTCCAGATGCTTTCCCCAATCCAGATGTTTTTGCCATACCTTCAATAGCGAAAGGCTTCCCAACGGTTAAGAGTTTGCAGTCGGAATCAATGGAGACCTCGTATTCCAGCAAGGATTTGTCCATGATGAAGGCATTCAGCTTTGGCGGGTTGGTCCTGGTGAGGAGAAGCAAGTGGCTGTCAAATTGGGCAGCATTAATTAAGTCTGCAGGTAGTCCTCATTTAGTGACTGCCTTGGACAGCGATCGTTTGCTGTTACGACAATGATGAAAAAGCAACTTTGCAACTAATCCTATTTACAACTTTCACAGCCTTTCTCCCTGCCTCCCTCTCCCTCCCTCCCTCTGCTTTTCTCCCTCCTTCCCTCCCTCTTTCTCCCTCCCTCTTTCTCTCTCCCTCCCTCTCTCTCTCCTTGACTTATGAAGGCAGTTGGAACCAACATTTTAGTTGCTAAAAGATGTGGTCGTAAAGCATGACATTATATGACTGTATCACTTAGCCTTCTCATTGCTATTGTTAAGTGTCATTGGGTCATTGCAAGAACTAGTCATAAGTCACTTTTTTCAGTGTTGTTACAAATTTAAACGGTCACTAAATAAATGGTTATAAGTCAAGGACTACCTGTATTGCTTCCTTAAGACTTATAGATACCCAAGAACAAATACCAGTGACACGTTACCTCAGCAAACAACATGGTTTTTTTGCCGAAATGAGTGGACTTACATTTGAAATTAGGGAACAGGAGGATGAGCAATTTTATAAGGTATGGAATTTGTTTTACCAATGGTTGGATAAAAAAAACCTGGAAATGAAATTGTTTATTAATGTACTACCAGAAAGTTATAGTCATTGTTATGGAAGTTTTTTTTTCTTTTGCTATGAAATAGAGTGTTTGATCATATGATATACACAGGACAATAATGTATTT